AGCCCGGCCTGTGTCCCCCGAGTCCCCGGCCCGGCCCGGGGCTCCGCTGCACGGTGCGGATGCAGCTGCGGGCCCTGGGCCTGCGCGCAGCGGGGGCAGGCGCGGCGCCAGCGGCGAGCGATGGGGAACTGCTGCTGGACGCAGTGCTTTGGGTGGCTCCGCAGGGAAGCGGGGCGAGTGCAGCGAGTGGGCGGCGGCGGAGGATCTAAGTATTTTAGAACATGCTGGAGAGGTGAGCACTTGACTATAGAGTTTGAGAATCTAGTAGAGAGTGACGAAGGGGAGAGCCCAGGGAGCAGCCACAGACCTCTTACTGAGGAAGAGATTGTCGACCTAAGAGAGAGGCGCTACTACTCTATTGCTGAAAAGCAGAAAGATCTCGATGAGAAAATTCAAAAAGAGATGGCAGCATTCCCGCTCAGAGCAGCTAGCCAGGTTCTGGTTCCTTTCACCCTTACGTTCTGTTCACGCAGTTAGCCTCTTAGGAGGAGGAGCTAAGGCTAGAAGAGGAGGCCTCCTACGCTGCGCAGCGTGCGGCGGCCAGGGCCGAGAAGCAGCAAAAGCGCGCGGAGAAACTAGTAAAAAATGCTTTCTGGCATGGCAAGAGTGGTTTCAAAACTGTAATTTACAGCAGATTGATTTTCTGTTACATTATTTTCCAAAGCAAGAGTGGAGGAGAGCTGTGCAGCAGAGCCACTCTGCCAGCAGTGGGCCTGGCCGAGTTCAGGACCAGAAGATGACTTCGAATCTTGTTTGAGAAACATAAAATCACAATACGAGGTTTTTCGAAGTAGTAGGCTCTCCTCCGATGCCACAGTTTTGACACCGAATACAGAAAGCAGCTGTGACTTAATGACCAAAACAAAATCAACCAGTGGGAACGATGACAGCACATCCTTGGATCTAGAGTGGGAAGATGAAGAAGGAATGAGCTGCACGCTGCCTGTCAGAGAGCGCTCCAGGACCGAAGAGGACATCCCCACGCCGCCCTGGAGCCAGGCCGCCTCCGCCTCCGAGGACTCCAACGGGCTGGAGTGGGAGAGCGACTTCATGGGGACCGATGTGGACGCCAACGGCAACTCCGAGTACTCCGGCTTCGTGAACCCGGTGCTGGAGCCAACAGACTCGGGCCTCCCGCAGTGCGACGGGGCGCAGCAGGGCCGGGGGGGGGGGCGG